GGAGGCAAGGAGGGAGAAGGACGACGGGAGGGCGGAGGAGCGGGGATTTCCATTAGCGAAGGACTGAGGGGAAGGGAAAAGGAAGCAACACCAACAACAAACAACAGATCGGGCCACCTTGAGGGGGGGGGCACCTGGAGTTTCTGTGGGAATGTCAGGAAACCAGCAACAGGCCAAAGGACACCAATGCTCAGAAATCTCGATATCCCTGCTCCTCTTCCTGTTCCCCCCTCCTCCCCTCCTCCTCCATCAAGCGCAGGCAACCTCATCCATCATTCTTCTCCAGTCCCTCTCTTCCTCCTCCTCCTACTCCTCATCCTCCTCCTCCCCCTCCGCCTCCTCCTCCTCCTCCTCGTCCTCCTCCTCCTCCTGCTCCTCCTCCTCCTCCTCTTCCTCTTCCTCCTCCTCCTCCTCTTTCTCCACCTCCTCCTCCTCCTCCTCCTCTCAAGTGGGCTCGAGGCTCCCCGTAACATTTTGGCTTCTCGGCGACCTTAAGATCGTGTCCGACGCCGCAACGTGGCGCTTGGGTGGCATCGCGTCTTCACCTGTTTCATTGGGCTGACGGTCGCCGTGGCGAAGTCGGACAAAGAGTTGAGCAAGGCTCGACATCCGTTTCGTGATCTACTTGCGGGAGGTCGGTCGGTCAGGTCCAGATCGGGCTGGGTCTTCTTCGTCTTTGGCTGGTTCCTGAACTTGTGGCCCTTTCCTTCGCACGTGCTCACCAAATTTTCTGGGGGCTCCAATAACGGGTACCTGCTTATTGGCTGAGCCTGACAAGCGCAACGCAACTTTTTTTTGCTTTGTTGTTTGTTTTCGTATCGGTGAAACATCGGTGGAAGACAATGCATGACAACTAAGATCCCGTACAAGGTACAAGTGATAGCAAAAACGCCTGGAAGTCTATCACGCTGACAGGGACAACAAGAGGGAAGGGAAGGACAAGAGGGAGGAGGACCAGGAGGAGGCCCCGCCAAGGAGGCCAGCCAGCGCATCGTTTATTTTCTGGGCTATTCATGGTTGGGGCTTCATTTTGAAATTCTTACTCTTCAATTTTGGGTTGTGAATTTTCGGTGGGCTCCAGCAACAAGTACCTGGTTATTGGCTGAACCTGGCCAGCGCAAGACAAACGCTTTTTTTGTGTTGGCCGAGCCTGGCCAGCGCACGGTTTATTGTCTGGGCTATTCGTGGTTGGCTTATTCTACAGCTATTACTGTCCAGTTTTGGGCTGTGGGCAGCTTTGGAGGAATGAAGTTGCGCATGGTATTTGTTGTGCCTTAGTCTGGCAGCTGGTGAGGCAGTTTGTGGAGGAAGCGAACTTTGCACTCGTGCAACTTTCGAATTTGTTCGATGGCGGATTAGCCCAGTGACCCGCGGTGGGCTTCATCATGGACAGGGCCGCATCGAGTTGATTTCATCTCTGCTTATCGGGCTGTCACTATTGTGTGCAGAGCGGTATTCACTTTCTGTGTGTGACGAGGGATTCATCAGAGGTATGCGCGGCCGTGGGCGCCCTCCTCTGGCTCCTGTTCTTCTCTTGATTTTCTGGTTCGGCTCCTTCTCGTTCGAGTTCAGAGGGCGGCCCGAGGGAATTATGCTCACTCTTGTGATCGCGGAATATCCAAGAATCTCCTTCTCCTCCTCCTCCTCCACCGCCTCCTCCTCCTCTTCCTCCTCCTCCTCCTTCTCCCCTCCCTCTCCCCCTCCCCCTCGTCCTCCTCCTCCTCCTCCTCCTCCTCCTCCTCCTTCCCTCTTGCTCCTCCTCCTCTTCCTCCTCCTCCTGCTCTGGCGGCCACCGTGGTTTGGCAAAGGAGGGTTGCCGCAGACGACGATGACGACGACGACGACGGCGGCGGCGACGACGGCGACGACGGCGGCGACGGCGAAAGCGACGACGACAGGCGGAGGAGACGACGGAAGTGAGGAAAAGCAGTGTTTTCCGGGCCGGACGCTCCTGGACACCGGCAGCGCTGCAGGGCACAGCGTAGCATCGCATAGCATGCGGGATCATAGCATGGCATCGCAAAGCATCGCACACCAGAGATTAGCATAATCAGCACTGCGTGGAATATCATCGCATCGCATAGCTTGGCAGAACCTCCTCCTCCTTGTCCTCCTCTTGCTCCTCCTCCTCCTCCTCCTCCTTCCTTCGCCTGCTCCCACCACCCGTGCTCGAGGAATTGAAGGCTCGAGGGCACGAGGGCTGGATGGCTCGATGGATCGAACACTCCAGGGCTCGATAGATCGCAGCCGCTTTCCAATCCCAACGGCTCCACCGAACCAACCGCCCCATCCTCATTCTCTTCCTCCCCATCCCCCTCTAGACCCCCTTGAATGCAACTCCCTTGCTACTCCACCTTCCCTCTTCCTCCTCCTCCTCCTTCTCCGCCTCCTCCTCCTCCTTCTCCCCTCATTCCGCTTCTGCCTTTGGCTGATCACGAAACATCGCGTTTTTCCCAGCCGGGCGCTCCTGCCGCCGTCGTCGTCGCCGACCGTTTTTTCGACGAAGAAAAGAGGGGGGAGAGAGGGAAGAAGAAGGAGGAGGAGGAGCGACGGGGGAGATGAGAGCTAGGAGGAGGAGGAGGAGGAGGAGGAAGAGGAAAAGGAGGAGGTGGAAGCGGAGTAGGAAGATGACGACGACGAGGACGAGGACAGGGACGATGATGACGAGGAGGGGAGCGTGGGCGGGGGTGGAAAAAGAGGAGGAGAGCGGGAGAGCAGGGCGAGGAGAGGAGCAACATGAGGGAGGGGAAAAGGGCCTGACGACCTGAAGACGTGAAGGCCTGACGACCTGAAAGCATGAGGTCGCGGGACATCGGCCCGACGACCTGAGCGTCATGTCTTCATGTCTTCATGCCGTCGGGCCAGCGACCTGTTCTTCATGTCTTCACGTTTTCATGCCGTCGGACAGGGCAGCACGTCTTCATGTCCTCATTTCTTCATGCCGTCGGCCTCGGCTCGTTTTGTCTTCATGGCTTCATGTCGTCGGGCCGACGACAATGCAAAATTGGCCAGGCTCCGAATACAGGCTTTCGTCGACGATTCACCTTTCAGCCCGGCAGCGTTCGTACAATCGTAGATGTGCATCAAACGACGAATGGGCGAACTGTTTACACGTCTACGCATCAGACTGGAACCCACTTGGTTGCAGCGCCTGCAGGACCCGATCGAATGGCGAACTACTGCGGACAGCATGGCAAACAACTGTTGTGAAAGCGGTTACCTGTAGCATTCTTTCTCTACGTTGCATGCGATGCCCTGTGCCCTGGCGCCCTGCTTCTTTTTCTGTTCTTCTGCCTCACCTGCGCGCTTCGGCGCATGGTTCAGCGTAGCGCAGACGCCCTGCACCACCAGAACTGAGCCCCGGCCCAGGCTCTGCCCCCCCACTTGATCGAGGCGACGCCGACGAAGATGCCGCGACCAGGCGCGATCGGGGACCAACGGGAACGCGCGCTCGACGAGCCCTGGCACCCGCCGATATGATTTCTTTCCGTCCGCGGCCCCGGAAGTCCCTACCGCTTCCCCAGGGGTATCTCTTTCGTGGCGTGATAGAAGCAATCGATTTTGTTGCCTGTGGTTGCACCACGTATTGAGCAGAGGGGCACCCTCGATGACACAGAAGCCGCACCCCCCGACACAGCTCACCGCTCTGAAGACTCGATGCAATGAGTGCTCGTCGCTGCGGTGTCCCCCGCAGCGGGGGGTCTGCCTCGTGCCTTGGCGGCCTCAAGCTGCAACGGTGCCGCACGCTTGTCTGCGGGCGGTCAAGCGCTGGAGCGGTGGGGAGACCATAAGCCTCGTGGCGGTCCCAAAGAATTTCAGTATGTTTGATCTGCACCGTGTAGGCCCACCATCATTGCAAATAACATGTAAAGAGGTTGGCGTCTATCATGAAGTCGCCGTGTGCTGCTTGCCTGCTGACTTGTTAGAGTGGAAATAGGGGGGGGGAAAGGTTACCTATATAATGAGGCAAACGAGGGGAGGATGGAAGGTAGGAGTCTAGCTGCGGTGCGCAAGAAAGGGGAAGGGTGCGCGACAGTATCAGGAGAACAAGCCAGTCTGCGGCCTCCGCGTCAGCAGCGAGGTCCCCGAGGGCAGACATCGAGGAACAACCCGCCGGTTGAATAAACATCATAGGTTCAGGGCCTTGTGGATAGCGGGTCGCGGCGGCGGCCCCGGCGACACGATATGGCCTGCGAGCGGCTAGCGTGTCGCTCCGTTCCACGGAACGAGAGGCTGGGAAATGCTCGCGCCGTTGACGCTTGGGGGCCTGGACGTGGATAGCGTGTCGCGCCGAAGCGTGGTGAGCCAGAACTGGCGGCGCGACACGCTAAAGCACAATTCCCGACCATGCTCCATCCCTGATAGTTTTCGGGTAATAACTCGGCTCTCCCGCTCTCGTTCGGGACGATCCGGGCAACCCCGGAACGCGCTCGGCGAGGCGCAGCCGCTGAAGGCACCCCGAGGCTGGGAAGTCGCCGATAACCGACGAAAGCGCCACAAAATCTCGAACTTCGGATCCCCGAGACCGTACCTTCCTCTTCTGAACCGTAATATCGCTCCTCCTTCTCCTTCTCCTCCCCCTCCTCCTCCTCCTCCTCCTCCTCCTCCGCCTCCTCCTGCTCCTCCTCCTCCTCTTCCTCCTCCTCCTCTTCCTCCTCCTCCTTCCCGTCCTCCTCCTCCTCCTCCGCCTCCTCCTCCTCCTCCTCCTCTTCCTCCTCCTCCTCCTGCTTCTCCTCCTCCTCCTCCTCCTCCTGCTTCTCCTCCTCATCCTCCTTCTCCTCCACCTCCCCCTCCTCCTCGTCCTCCTCCTCCCTCCCTCCTCCTCTCTCCTCCTCCTCCTCCTCCTCCCCCCCTCCCTCCTCCTCCTCCTCCTCCTCCTCCTCCTCCTCCCTCCGCCTCCTCTCCTCCTCCTCCCCTCCCTCCTCCCCTGAGCCCTCATATCGCTGGAGATCTGGCAGGCGGCCCGACCTGGCCGTGGCCGTCCGCTCCGAGGGCCGCGCGGCGCCGCGGCAGGCGGCCTGCCTCTCGCAGGCCCGCGCCGCCAGGGACAGCAGCGCGAGGCGCTCCGCGTGGCCGGCGGTGGCGTCCCGCGCCAACGGGGGCAGCCTCGGAACGGGGGCTACGAACAACATCATCATCATCATCATCATCATCATCATCATCATCATCATCATCATCATCATCATCATCATCATTATGATCATGATCATGATCATGATCATGATCATGATCATGATCATCATCAGCATCATCATCATCAGCATGATCGTGATCATCATCAGCATCAGCATCAACATCAGCATCAGCATCACCATCATCATTATCATCATCATCATCATCACCATCATCATCGTCATCATTATCATCATCATCCTCATCCTCATCCTCATCATCAGCATCATCATCACCATCAGCACCATGATCATCAGCATCACCACCGCCATCATAATCATCACCATCATCAGCATCTGGAACATCATGATCATCATGACCAACATCAACATCATCATCGCCATCATCATCGTCGTCATCAGCATCAACATCACCATCGTCATCGTCATCATCATCATCATCATCATCATCATCGTCATCATCATCATCGTCATCATCATCATCATCGACATCTTCGTCATCATTACCATCATCATCAATTTGTCACCATGTTTCCCCATCTCCTAAAACACCCTTCTGGCTATTCTATTGCTCGAACGCCTCCGACTCACGCCTCGCCTCCCTCTCTATTCCCACTCCTCTTCCGCACTCGTGCTCACTGGCACTCGGACTCACTCGCACGCAGACTAATTCATGCTCAAACTCATTCATACCAACGCTCAAGCTCGTTCACATTCGGACTCGCTCACATCCTCCACTCTCTCAGCTGGGCCCACTCATGCTCAGACTCCCTCCCACTCAACCGTTCCGTGTTGAGCTGGGCCCTCGCTCCGCGGCCCGAGAAGGAGCTCCACCCACAGGCCCTGGTTGGTGCGTCCACGTGTGGCCCCCCGCCGACGTCGGCGCACCCCGCACACGCCTTGTGGCCCCGTGAGGCGGCTCACACCTCCTTCGTCCCACCTGCCCTGCGGCACTCACACTTGCACGTGGCTGGGTCCTTCGCCAAGGCAGTCTGCAGTCTGCGGCGCCTTGGTGATGGCAAGCCCACCCCCCGCCAGCACGCAGAGTTTGCCGATGACACCTGGATGGGCCGTCCTTTCTTCCACGCAGGCAGCCGCACGAGCAGCTGCTATCCCAAGGGTGAATCGCCGAAGTGTCCTGGCCATTCAGACTGATCAGGCTACGCATGCTAACGCCTGTCATGAGCGAGATGCTGCATAGTGTCGGCGTGGCTAAGGAAGAGGAAAAGGGGACGAAGACGGGGGGCAGGAACCGATGCGGGGGAGGTCGTCTGGATGGGTCGTCTGCGGGACGCTCTGGAGCCCCAGCGCCGAGCCTGCTCTGAAGCGCTCGAGGGGACAATGGGTGTGGGAGGGGCAGCGGGGAGGAGTACGGCAAATTCGCGTCGTGTCGACCACGGCGTTGGTTCCTGACTCTGCGGGGATCGTTCAAGCTTGAACGATCGGCCGTTCCGTGAACGCCGGATCGTTCAACGACGGGCCGAGTCTGGGCCAAGGGCGGCGTTCAACCTTAAACGCACGCGGTGGGGTCGCCGCTGGTCGGCACGACGCGAACCTGCCGTAGGGGGACAGAGGGGGAGGGCGAAATAGGCGCGCTCGCCCCATATCTGACATCCTGCTCCTCCCGCCCACTCTCTTTCATTCTGCTAGTGGTTCCCCGCCGCCGGGTGCCCTGGCGGACCGGGGCCCCCCGCGTGGCCCCACCGTCTGATGCGCAACCAGAAAGGGCAGATATTGCAGGAGGATGGGGGAGGAGGAGGGGAGGGGGGGAGGAGGAGGAGGAGGAGGAGGAGGAGGAGGAGGAGGAGGAGGAGGAGGAGGAGGAGGAGGAGGAGGAGGAGCAGGAGGAGGAGGAGGAGGAGAAAGGAGGAGGAGGAGGAGGAGGAGGAGGAGGAGGAGGAGGAGGACGCCCTCGGGCGACCTGCCACGACGACGCCCCCGGGCGCCCTGGAAGCGGGCCCCTTCCGCGCCGAGAGGCCGCAGGGCCCGGTGCGCGCGCCGCGCCCTGCGCGGGCCTGGGCCCGTGCCTCTCTCTGCAGAGGAGCGGCCGCGCGGCGCGGGCCCTTCCTGCGGGAGGCGCAGGCGGCAGCTGCGCACCGCCTCCAGGCCACCACGGCGGTGCACAGACGCCGCCTGCGAGTCAGCACCCACACATCTCCAGCTCCTCTACCGTCGGCCCGTATGTATCATAAGGGTGCACGGTTAGGGTGCAAGGGCCCTGGGCGCCTATTTCGGAGCTTTTCGAACGGAGCGCGGCCAACGAAAGTGGCCAAGGATGGACCGAGGAGGCAAGGATGCAAGGGTACCCTTGGGAAGGTTGCCCATCCTTACTATGCGGGTTGACTGTAGCTTCATACTCCACCTCCTGGGGGGTGAGGGGCAGCGTTCGGGGGGGACCAGCTCAGGGGGGAAACATCGACCTGGACTCGGCGATGCATCGCCGGAATGCAAGGGCGATGCATCGCCGATAGAATGGCGAAACATCAACTCGGCGGCGCCCGGGCTCCGCACGGTCCTGGGCGGGGTGGGCTATCAGGCCCTCGTCGTCGATGAATGGGCGATTGGGGGTGGATGCGTTCCCTTCTGACCCTATCCCCCCCTGGCCTCGCCCGCTGGTTATCAAACCATAACTTGGCTCTCTGGCGCCCTTTCGGGACGATCCGGGCACGCCTGGAACGCTCCTCGGCGAGGCGCAGCTGCTGGACGGAACCCCGAGGCTGGAGAATCGCCCGAGACCTACGAAAACGCCCGAAAATCTTGAACCTGACGTCTCTGACGGAGAAGGAGGAGGAAGGAGGAGGAGGAGGAGGAGGAGGAGGAGGGAGGAGGAGAGGAGGAGGAGAGGAGGAGGAGGGAGGGAGAGGAGGAGGAGAGGAGGAGGAGGAGGATAGGAGAAGGAGGGGGAGGAGGAGGAGGAGGAGGAGGAGGAAGGGCGGAGGAGGGGAGGAGGAGGAGGAGGAAGGGCGGAGGAGGGGGAGGAGGAGGAGAGAGAGGAGGAGGGAGGAGGAGGAGGAGGAAGGAGGGAGGAGGAGGGGGGAGGGAGGAGGAGGAGGAGAGGAGAGGAGGAGGGGCGGAAGGAGGAAGGAGGGAGGAGGAGGAGAAAGGGCGGAGGAGGAGGAGGAGGATGAGGGGGAGGAGGAGGAGGGATGAGGAGGAGCGGAGGCACAGGCAGGACGGCATCCCCCCCCCCCCCCCCTGAGCCTGCCCTCCCCCCTGCGGCTGCGGGGCTCCCCGCAGCACCCTCCCCTCCGAGGCGGCGGCAACGCGCACGCGACGTCGTCCAGTGCCGGCTCCCCGGACCCGAAGGCCTCCCCCTCGGAGCTCAGCTCCCAGGGCGCGCCCCCGTCGCCGCCGCTGAGGTGGAACCCGAGCCAGGCCTCGGCCGCGCCATAGGGGGCCCCTCCTCCTCCTCCTCCTCCTCGTCCTCCTCCTCCTCGTCCTCCCTCCTCGTCCTCCTCCTCCTCGTCCTCCTCCTCCTCCTCCTCCTCCTCCTCCTCCTCCTCCTCCTCCTCCTCCTCCCCCCCTCCCCTCCCTCCTCCTCGTCCTCCCAGCCCCGAAAACCCTTCCTCCGAGAAGCCTGGGGCCCGGGCGCTGCCACTTTTTCACACCAGGCGTTTTCGCCCAACTTCGGGCCCCGAGGCCCTCGCATGTCGATCCGGCTCGGACCATGGCGCAGGGAGAGATGGGGTCAAAGGCTCTGGTCGTAGATTCTTCGCGAGGTTGCAGTTTTCGGCGACGTCGGATCCGAAGGAAGCTGTGGCTCAGCCGATCGCTTCGCTTCGCGATCATTCCGCTTCATTTTTTTCGCACAGGTGGCCGGCCGGGCTAACGCCACCACACCATGTTAACACCACGCGATCTCATTCCACTTCATGCCAGTCCCAGACGTGCCCCCGTCGTGACGACGGCGCGACGGGAAATGATTGCACGCTCTCGGCCTCGGGTGGCCCTCGCCCGGGACCCCCCTCGCACGGGCCGGCACTTCGGGGGGCCCCGCACGGAGACAAGCCGATGCGCCGCGCACGCCTGGACTCCCAGGTGGGGCCCCCCGCCCTCGCGCCCCCGGCGGCCCGGTGGTCGTGGCCGACGCGGCCGAGGGCCCCCGAAGTCGCCCAGGGCTCCCATGGCCTCCTGGTGATGCTGGCGCCGAGTCGCGCCCAGGGCTCCGCAGGGTCGCTCGGGGGCGCGCCGGGTCGTGCCTGTGGCGCCTCGAGCGCGAGCGCAGCGCGGTGCAGCACGGCGGAGCACGGCATGGCCTGACGCAGCAGCCGCGTCTCGAGTCCGAGTTCCACGCGCCTCTGGGAGCTGTCCAACGTGCGTGCGGCGCGTGTTTGGACGTGCGATCCGCGAGGCGACCGCGGCTCCTGGTCGTCTTCACGCCGCCCAGAGGCGGGCGAGTGCCCGGGGGGGGAGGGGGAGGAGGAGGGGGAGCACAATAAAGAGGAGGAGGAGGAGGAGGAGGAGGAGGAGGAGGAGGAGGAGGAGGAGCAGGAGGAGGAGGAGGAGGAGGAGGATCCGTGTAAACCCAAGACTCATCAACGATGTTGCAATAACCCCTTCCTCCAAGCTCCCCCTTCATCGGCCACCAAAAATATTCATTTCCAATGAGAGAAGTGCCCCTTTCGGAGACAACCTTTACAAATTCTGAGCCGTGCCAGAGCACCGCTCTTGGGACTTGGACGCCGCGAATCAACCTTACTGTTGCGTCTGGGCCGCCCTGAGTCGTGACAGAACACCATTTCTGGGACTTCAGCACCACGAATCGAAATAACTGTTGCGCCCTGACGGCCCCACATCGCTCCAAAACACCATTTCGGGTACGCTAACCATCATCGTGACACTTTGTGTAAGTTGTCAACACGAGTTTGCGCGGCGCTACGACGAGAGACGCGTTCTGAAAATGAGCCGCCCTCCATCAATGAAACATTTAACATAGCAGTTGAAAACGCATAGGCGCTGCGCTAAACACGAGAGCCTCATGTTGAAAAAAACTTGACCTCAATCCATCAAACTTACAACGAATGTGCGCGGCGCTAAGGCGAAAACCACATTGTGAAAATTACCCGCCCTCAATCCGCGAAACTCTTGCACATGTTTTAAACGAATGTGCGCGGCGCCATTGCGAGAGACACATGTTGGAAGCGGCTCGCCCTCCATCTGTGAAACTGTGACCAATTTTGAAGCTTCAAAGTCATACGTGGTAGAGGAATCTCATCAAACGGACCGCCTGGCCCGCCCGTCCGGCCAGCCTCGGAGTGCGACAGGGAGGAATTACTCACAAGGAGATGTAATGGAAGGTGATGAAGAAGGAGGAATCTGAAAACGGAGGAGGTTTGCTGTGATAGAAATCCGTTCGCAGCTCGAAGCTCGAAGGAAGAGGTTGGAGCGCCTGGTGAAGGAGAAGGAGGAGGAGGAAGAGGAGGAGGAGGAGGAGGAGGTTTGCTGTGATAAAGAGAACCGTTCGCAGTTCGAAGCTCGAAGGAGAAGGTTGGAGCGTCTGGGGAAGGATCTTTCCCCAGAGGGCTCCAGCCGCTTCTTGGCCAGGTCAAGGCAGGCCAAGTGAGAAGAGGGGCCAGCAGAGGCGGCGAGACGCTGCTGGCACCCAGGCCGCGGGTGTGGGCAGGAGGAGAAAGAGGAGGAAGAGGTTTGTTGTGATAGAGAGAACCGTTCGAAGCTCGAAGCTCGAAGGAGGTTGGAGCGTCTGGGGAAGGAGGCGGCAGAGGAGGAGAAGGAGGATGGGAAGGGGACGAATACAAGGACCTGGAGGAGGGGAAGGCGGACGAGGAGGAGGATGGGTCGGAGGAGTATGATTGGGGAGAAAGAGGATGAGGAGGATGGCTAGTGTGAATGTGTTTGGTAGGGGGAGAGCGGTGTACGATCCCAGACCTCCTAGTTTGGTGTTCGCGCTGCTTGCTTCAATTTGTGCTGCCTTGCTTTGTGAGGCTTTGACTTACTCTGCTTCGCCGCTTTGCTGACTCTTCGCTCTTAGCACCGCAGCGAATCATATCATAGTGTGCTAGAATACACCGCACCAGTGCACAATAGACACGTCAGAATTCCACAGTGGTTAAACGAGTTCGTTCTTCCACCCCCTTCTTGCCCTTCGGCCGTGCACGGGCTTACCCCTACCCCACGCCCTCTTCTGGGTCTTCAAGGGGGGCGGGTCGCGAGGGTTTAAAGCGTCCAAGATGACTCCAAGGTGGCCCCAGGTTCACCAATATGACCGTCAGGATGGCACAATCTAGCCAACGATGGCTCCACATAACTTCTAACAAACTTCCAAAAGGCCTCAAGGCCGCTTCAAGGCGGCTCCAAGTGGCTTCTGGGCCTTCCAAGGACGCTCCCATAGCTGCACATCCTTTCAAAAGCATCGAGAAACCACTCATTTTGACATTCTGTTTTTTTGCTTCTGGTGGGCGCTCGAACCCTCAAGATGGCTCCAACGTGGGCCAATCGAATCCCAAGAGAAGCTCAGGACGGCTCCTAGTCGGCCCCAAGAGCGCCCGCAGAAACGACTTGGGGACTTCAATCGCCGCCGCCCAATTTCTCAATCGATGCTCCCCAAAGATAGCCCCCTAGAAGGCCCCCAGGGAACCCACGATCGCCTCGAGGGCGTAAAGGCCCGAGCCTCCCCGAGGGCTCAATTTTCACCATTGTTGGCCTCCTCGCTTCACTGTTTGCTCGCCTACGCCACTCCAGACAACTCCCCTGCGCCTCGTTTCTGGAGGGGACCGTGGGGATGCGCTTCGTGGGCCCTCGAGCTCTCGTGCCTGCTCCCTGCGGAGCAGCAACTGACCTCGTGGCTCCAGAGATGCCCAGGCCCGAGACCACCCGGCAACACGGGCGATGCCGAGACGATGCCGCACTGGACCGACCCCAGCGCGGCAGCGGCAGCGCGGTGACCAGTGGAAAGCCTGAGCCTGAAGTCCAAGCGGAGCGCCGGGGCGTGGCCCCAGGCCCCGGCAAGGCCCTCCCGGGGCGGGGCCCCCCCCCCCTGGAGGAGAGCTGCCCGCTGCGGGGGCGTCGAGCTCGGATCTCCGCGGCCCTCCTGGGCGAGGCGGGGGGCGAAGGCGGGGGTCGGAGGAGGAGGAAGGGCGTCGGAAGATGGTGGCGCGGGAATCTCAAAAGGGAGGAGAGAGGCGGCCTGAGCATAAACTCTCGGAGCTCCGCGTGGAGTCCTTGGGCCTGCGCTGAACCCCCTCCCTGGCGCGCGGGGAGCGCGCTGGCGGCGGCGCCGGAAGCGCCGCCAGTGGGGACCCAGTGCCGATCCAAGAACTCCGCGCGGGACTCCGAAAATTGATGCTGATGCAGTTTTTTCTTCTGCGAGAGTCAGAGGAGGCGGAGGAGGAAGAGGAGGAGGAAGAGGAGGAGGAGGAGGAGGAGGAGGAGGAGGAGGAGGAGGAGGAGGAGGAGGAGGAGGAGGATATGGTCCGGGAGTGTGAGTCCAGTCCATATTGACAGATGTCGTTGTAGATCTCTCTGTATGCGCTGCTGCTGCCGCCAATCGTGCTGAGCTGAGGGTCTAGACATCTATCACTTCGCCCACACCCAACGACAGGGAGGAGAAAACAGTCCTTGAGCAGGGGCCGACCGTCCTGGCATTGCTATACGCCTACCACGAGATGTTCGTAGAACGGAAAAACGTTCTGACAACAAAAACAATGCTCTGAGAACATGAAGCCGACGTATTAAAACAGGACGGTCTCGGCCAGAAGCGTTCTAAACACATGTAGTGCAAACCGCAGAAGGCGATCACAACATGCCTCTGTGGGCCTTTACGCCAGCCAGGACGCCTGGCCACTGTTTGAAGTCCCCTCCCTTGGCCCTGGCCCCCTCCCCCAGGGCTTCGGATTGCTTTGGTTTCGTCGTCGAGGTCCCCGTCCTCGTCGTCGTCGTCGTCGTCGTCGTCGTCGTGGTTGCCATCGTGTCGTCGTGCCCCCACGCGCCCGCGCTGCGCCCAGGGCCCGCGCGATCCACCCGGGGCCCTGCTCCTCGTCCCACAGCGCCCACCGCCGCAGCAGCCCCTGCCGCCGCACCTCGGGGCGGCAGGGCGTCTGGGTGGGAGGCCAGCTGGAAGGAGAGGAGGAGAAAGGGGGATTTGAGCAAACCAACGCGTGTCCAACGCAAAAAGGGGGAGGGGGGGCCAGCGTCGGAATGCCATAGGAGGAGGAGGAGGCCCCCCCCCGACGACGACAACGACGACAGCGACGACGACGACGACGGCGGCGGCGACGACGACGACGGACGACGACGAACGAACGACCGAACGACGACGACGACGATGCCGACGGCGACGACGACGACGACGAACGACGAACGACGAATAACGACGGACGGACGGACGGACCGACAACGACGGCGAACGACGACGGCGAACGACGACGACCCAGCTGGCCGAGCACCTCTGCTCTCGCGGCTGGCAGCCAACGCTCCCCCAGCTGTCCGCTGTCGAGTTCCAGGGCCTCGAGCAAGTCCTGTGGCGCCGGCCCTCTACGTGCCCCATGTGGGCGTCAATGTCAGATTCGATGCCCGATTCAGTGAGAAGGCACACGATTAGCGTAATGGGAAGGGATTGGGGGGAGGGCTCAGATGTCAGATGCGGCGCGAACACACCTAGCTTGACGTACCCTGTCTTCTTCCTCCTCCTCCTCCTCCTCCTCCTCCTACTCCTACTCCTCCTCCTGTGGCCATTTTTGGAGGATGAGGAGGAGGAGAAGGAGGAGGAGGAGGGGGAGAAGGAGGAGGAGGAGCAGGAGGAGGAGGAGGAGGAGGAGGAGGAGGAGGAGGAGGAGGACGAGGAGCAGGAGGAGGATGGACGCACTGATCCCGCGAGGCAGGGCGGCAAACAAGTACTTCCGCCACTGATCTGTAAATGGTGCTTTCCACATTTGTGGCTCCCGCCTGGAGCCCAAAGCGGCGCTGAAGCTCTAGACGTGCCCGCTAGCCGAGTCGATCCGATCCAATCCGACCCCGCCTGGCTCCTACCTCTCCATCCCTTCCCCCTCCTCCTGGTCTTCCTCCTCCCTCCTTCTCCCCTCCTCCTCCTCCTCCTCTTCCACCTCCTCCTCTTCCTCCTCGTCCTCCTCCTCCTCCGCTTCCCCCTCCGCTTCCCCCTCCCCCTGCCCCTCCCCCTCCCCCTCCCCTCCTCCTCCTCCTCCTCCTCCTCCTCCTCCTCCTCCTCCTCCTCCTTCCTCCTCCTCCTCTTCTTCCACCTCCTTCTCCACCTCCTCCTTCCTACCTCCTCCGCCTCCCCCTGCTCCCCCTGCTCCTCCTCTTCCTCCTCCTCCTTCTCCTGCGCCCTCTAGAGTTCGATTAGTCCTGATAGTCGCTGTCTGACCTACATGCTGGCTGTTTCGGAAAGATTTCTGGAGGTCCATTTAACATTCCCACCTGCCTCTACGAGGCCTTACCCCGGCACAAGTCTGAATGGTTGTCTGGGATTCTTGGCAAACAATTTCTGATTGGTGTTGTTCTATGGAGCGGCTGAATATTTCCCGAACGCGCGCTATCCTTGCTGATGCTAATTTCATCGTTGGAAGAGGCTTCAGGTTGAAACGGAAAGACGTGTCTCCTATGATTCGCGATGTGCATGCACAGAGCTTTCGGAACCCTGAGATGCCCTGTTGGTATCTTTTCAGCAGGTTGTGCGAGCAGTGGAAGCTCACTCGTAGGGCCCCGTTCTCTGATGCTGCTCGGTAGCATCGTGTTGTGCTTTCCGAATCGGCGACGAGCGTCACCGCCCAACTGGAGCCCCTCGGAAACCCTGCCGATGCGCAAACGTGGAAGGCCCGTCTTGATAACCCTCCTCGTAATCATGAGACATTACGTGTGATGGTTGATCTTGCAGGTGAGGGCGTTGACTCGCAGTACAACTAAGCAATACATGCGTACTGTGGTGCGTGCCTCTCTTCCTTGGGGAGCTACTCCTGTTCATACATGCCCTTAGGCTGGGGATGAGGTTTGTTGGGAGCAGTTCCAGCCTGAGCATGGTGTTGATCATACCCCTAAGAATAAGATGGCGTATCGTCAGCACAAGTGGCATCAGTGGTGGACCCCGAACTCTCAGCAGAGCCTGCGTCTCACTGCAAGCCTTAGCGAATTACGCTTCCAGGCCGCCGTCTCTCTGCAGGAGCATTCGCCGCTGCATGCGAAAGATGCTGCTCGCGCATGCCCTTGCTGTTCTGCTACAACCGATGTAGGAACTGATACATGGCCACCCCGCTCTTTGCTTTCAGTACTGGTTGTTTCCCTGGAGGTTTTGACGTGCGTTCCCGGATTGGTCGAGGGGACTCGAAGCTTTCCTCCTCAGTGTCATGTTTGTCTCATGACTATGCTGCCGACATCTATCCCTGATAAACATGCCGCTGTGAAATGCCCCAGTCTCCGCCACATGTTTTTTGTTTGCAAGGGACGGCGATTCGATATTCATGATTGGAATGCACAACATATTGACTTCTGGGATTCGGCGGTAAAACTAATCCTCTGCGCTCCAGGCAGTTGGGTTCCGTGCGATATCACGCGAAGTTGCTCATGCCTGTGGCTTTCTGGCGGCGTCTCTGCATTGGAATCTTGAGGCGTTCTTTGACTCGGCACGCCCTAGTAAGCTTATCAAGTTGGCCTCCAATCAAGGGTACTCTGGGCATCTGCTGTCCTTGAGGATCCTCATTCATCGGTCTTGGAGGCTTGTGGAAGCGCCTGGGTCTCTGCCAAGAGTCTTGCCGGCTAAGGGGTCTATACTGGCAGGTTGTAGAAACAGCGTGCCTTGAATTAAATGTTACCTGTGCGCGGCCCTTGAGAAAGTTCATAACAGGATCCCAAGAGGCCTGGTAACGTTCCCATCAAGTCGTATGTTGATGGTACCACCCAACTCTTTCACGGCACTCCTGCTTACATTACTCGTTACCTTCCTCCTGTGGCTGTGGAGTTTTAGCGTGACATTTACAACTTCGGTTGCGTGGACAGTCCCAAATCTTTGGCAGTAGCCTTATCGTCGGAGCTGCAGCGTCGCCTACAGGCTGAGCTTCTTTCTGCAACAATTGCTATTAATTTCGCGCCGAGTGTCAAGGAACTCGGTGCCATCACCATGGCTCACAGGAGAAAAACTACTTGGAAGGTGCATCAACGTCGTTCCATTAAGCTTCGCCCCGGCAAGCTCTCCTATTTAGCTAAGTTCTACGGGGCCTCGCGTAAGGTGTCCAAACCAAGTGTCCTGGCCGTGGAATCCTGGGGCCATGGTATGTTTGGGGTCCCACCTGGATGTGTTAAACAAGTCCGCTCCTCTGCTGCATCCTGTTCTGGATTCTGGTCCTCGGGAGCGTGTACTGCATCGGCTTTAAGAGTGCTGCGTGACACGAAAGGCGACCCTGCCAACTTTTGCGAGTCGAGCAGCGCACGATGTTCCATGAGGAAGGGGTTCGTCTTTCCAAAGCACCCCGAGGAGGTGTGAGGAATGTTTGGGCGGCCTTGCATGAGAGAAGCTTTTCCCTGCTCCTCCTCAACATTGTTGGAGAAAGGTTCGTAATCGTGAGGCGGCCCTCTATCCTCTTCAATCCTTTTTCCTCGCGAGCAACACCTCCAAGTCACCCTCCCGGGCGTGTCGGTAGGGCGGGCTGGGCGTTTCGTTGGAGACTTCCTCACCGATAGCGATCCCGAAGCATGACATTGGCAATCATTTCAAACATGGATGGCGGCCCGTTTTTAAACTACGGCTCTCGTCGTCGAGTCGCTCGCTTTAGTCGTAAAACTTCGCAGCAGCTTCAAGGATGAAGGGCGGCTGGGGCGCAGCAGTATTCGCGGTGTTGAAGTTCCAAGAACGGTACTCAAGCGCGATTTAGGATTGCCAAGGCGCAACTGTCACGTTGGTTCGCGGCGTTGAAGTCCCCGGCATTTTGTTTTGGCACGATCGAGCATTTCCAGACGGTTGTCTTCAAAGGAGATTTCTGCAATACACAGAATTTTTCGTGGGGGCATGTGACGAGGGAACTTTGAGGGAGGATTTATTGCAACGTCACTGATGCGTCTTGAGCTTACTCTGGTCCCCCTCCTCCTCCTCCTCCTCCTCCCCCTCCCCCTCCTCCTCCTCCCCCTCCTCCTCCTCCTCCTCCTCCTCCTCCTCCTCCTCCCTCCTCCTCCTCCTCCTCCTCCTCCTCCTCCTCCTCCTCCTCCTCCTCCTCCTCCTCCTCCTCCTCCTCCTCCTCCTCCTCCTCCTCCCTCCTCCCCCTCCTCCTCCTCCTCCTCCCCCTCGCCGCTTCCCCTTCGTGTCCTCGCCGCCATCCCCCCCCTCCCGAGGCGACAGCCCGCCGCCAGCGCACCCGGCCTCCGCCCTCGGCTCGCTTTTCCAGCGCGGACTGCGCCCAGCAAGGCACTCCATGGGTCAGCCGCCCGTGGTGTGTAGTGGCGGTGGCGAAGAAAAAGAGCCCCACGACGACCGACTCCCAGCGCACCCCGGGCGGCCTGCAGGGGAGGAGAACTGTACTCCGTCGGAGCTCCGCGCGGATCCCCTCCTGCGCCTCTCCCGTGCACCCTCGGTGGGGACTGGCCTGGGGGGATCGAACGTTTACCACACTTGAGCAGCGTGTCTTTTCCGTTTTTGTTTTCTTCTTGTTTTATATAACCATTGCTCTTATTCTTATTCCCAACCCTCCTGCGTTGGGTTCTCGTTTTGAATAGAGCAGCTGCGGTCGCGACTCCTCTCCTCTCCTCTCCCACCCCCTCCTCCTTTCCTCTTCCCCCCTGCTTCCTACCTCGCTCGCTCCTGCGTGCCAGTTTGTCTCCTACCTCACCATCCCTATGGGGCTGCGATCTGCGAAGCTGTCGCCACTTTCGAGGGCTGCTGGGGGGCCCAGCGGAGTGGGGTCATACGCAGATCTAGATTAGACCTCGCCATCCCTGGGGGGCTGCGATCTGCGAAACTGTCGCCACTTTCGAGGGCTGCTGGGGGGCCCAGCGGAGTGACGTCATACGCAGATCCAGATTCGACCTCGCCATCCCTGGGGGGCTGCGATCTGCGGAGCTGTCACCGCTTTCGAGGGCTGCTGGGGGGCCCAGCGGAGTGGGGTCATACGCAGATCCAGATTAGACCTCGCCATCCCTGAGGGGTTGCGATCTGCGAAGCTGTCGCCACTTTCGAGGGCTGCTGGGGGGCCCAGCGGAGTGACGTCATACGCAGATTTAGATTCGACCTCGCCATCCCTGGGGGCTGCGATCTGCGAATCTGTCACCACTTTCGAGGGCTGCTGGGGGCCCAGCGGAGTGGGGTCATACGCAGATGCAAATTAGACCTCGCCATCCCTGGGGGGCTGCGTTCTGCGAAACTGTCGCCACTTTCGAGGGCTGCTGGGGGGCCCAGCGGAGTGGGGTCATACGCAGATTCAGATTCGACCTCGCCATCCCTGGGGGACTGCGATCTGCGAAACTGTCACCACTGTCGAGGGCTGCTGGGGGGGGGGGGGCAGCGGAGTTGGGCCATACGCAGATTCAGATTAGACCTCGCCATCCCTGGGGGCTGCGATCTGCGAAACTGTCGCCACTTTCGAGGGCTGCTGGGGGGCCCAGCGGAGTGGGGTCATACGCAGATCCAGATTCGACCTCGCCATCCCTGGGGGGCTGCGATCTGCGGAGCTGTCGCCAGTTTCGAGGGCTGCTGGGGGGGCCCAGCGGAGTGGGGTCATACGCAGATTTAGATTAGACCTCGCCATCCCTGAGGGGCTGCGATCTGCGAAACTGTCGCCACTTTCGAGGGCTGCTGGGGGGCCCAGCGGGGTGGGGGCATACGCAGATTCAGATTAGACCGCGCCATCCCTGGGGGGCTGCGATCTGCGAAACTTTCACCACTTTCGAGGGCTGCTGGGGGGGCCCAGCGGAGTGGGGTCATACGCAGATGCAGATTCGACCTCGCCATCCCTGGGGGGCTGCGATCTGCGAATCTGTCGCCACTTTCGAGGGCTGCTGGGGGGCCCATCGGAGTGACGTCATACGCAGATTCAGATTACCTCCATTCCATCCTTCTCCTGCCCCTCGTTCCTGTCCCCATTATTCTCCGAGCCTGGGGCCTCAATCCTCGTTCTTTCGATCGTCGTCCCGTGAGTCATGCAACGCATGCGCATCCCATGTAGTTTGCGCAGCAATTCACCTCGTCTACACTGTCGTTGTTCCTGCTAATGTTGGCCTACTCCTCTTGCCACTTGATGCACATGGGTTGGGTACGTCGCAGGGTAATTATTCTTCTGATTATTAGTAGTCTTACTGTTACTACTATTCTTATCAGTATTACACCTCCAATAAGACATTAGCCTGGCGAAGGGCCCAACCATATGCATTTGTGAGTACCGCAATTGTGAATATCTTCTTCGGTGGCGCTCCCTATGGGGCCACGACACGCTGTACTGGGTGGGTGAAACGCAGGGGGCAAGGGCCGTGTTGGGTGGTGGCGGACGCATGCGGGCGGTGCCACTGGGACCTTCGGTGGAGCCCCTTTATGGGGCCACGAAACGTTGTACTGGGTGTGTGAAGCGCAGGGAGCAAGGGCTGTGCTGGGTGGTGGCGGACGCATGCGGGCGGTGCCACTGGGACCTTCGGTGGAGCCCCCCATGTGGCCACGAAACGCTGTCCTGGGTCGGCGAAACGCAGGGAGGAGGGAGGAGGGAGGAGGAGGAGGAGAAGAGGAGGGGAGGAGGAGGAGGAGGAGGAGGAGGAGGAGGAGGAGGAGGAGGAGGAGGAGGAGGAGGAGGAGGAGGAGGAGGAGAAGAGGAGAGGAACGCGGGGACCGTCTCTTCAAAACGAGGACCGAACACCACAGGATGGTTGGGAATAACAAACAAAGCATCGTGCTCGAGCTTTCCTCTGGGCTGCCCTCCGCTCCGAGGCCGCAGGCGCCCGACTCCGCCCTTCGCTCGCTCCCCCCCCCCCCTGCGCCTCCCTGTGCACCCTCGGAGGGGACGGGCCGGAGAGAGAGAGAAGCGCCCTCGGTGGGGGCGGGTCGGAGAGAGAGCGAAGGCCACGGGGGGGGGGCCAGCTCAGGGGGGAGCAGCCGAGGGGCCGGCGGGGGAACTATCGAGTTCCAGTCGGCGACGCATCGCCGACAGCTCGGCGGCATGCCCCCGATGGCGAGGCCGCGCGCGGCCTGGGCGGGGGGGGGGCGCTGTGCAGGCCCCCGTCGGCGACGAGTGGGCGAGAAGGGGTCGAGGCCTCCCCCCGCTGTGTGCCTATCCCGATCTCCGGACAGATCGCCGCCCCCCTGGCTCTCGGCGGCGGCCGTTCGTCGGGAGCGGCCAAGAGGGGGGCGTCCAAGAGGGGGGGGTGCAAATCATGGCCGGCGGCATGTGCGCGGCCCAGGGGGGGGGCCAGGGACATAATGAAATAAGAAGAGGCGCCATGCAATCTGCGGAAACATCATGGCCCACGCCATGATATCCCCCCCCCTCAGTCATCACCCCCCTCTTTGCCGCCTCCGAGTTCGGGACGATCTGGGCAGCCCGGGGCACGCTCTCGGCGAGGCGCCGCCGCTGGCAGGCTCCCCGAGGCTGGAAAGCCGCCGAGAACCGACGATAACGCCATCCTCCTCCTCCTCCTCCTCCTCCTCCTCCTCGCGACGGAACCGCCCGACAACCTCGAGCGTCGCATCCGAAAGCCTCGAACCTCCCCCCTGAGCCCAGCTGCCCCTGGACCTCTGCTGGGGTTCGCTCAGGCCGGGATCTCGAGGTGGGGCCAGTCGCGCCCACGGGGGCGCCCCAGGACGACCAAGCAAGCCCAGAAAGCGAACTTCGAGTCTTGAAGATCCTCGAAACTCGACCCTCGCGCCCCCGACGGCGGAGACGTTTATGTTATACTTCTTCGCCCGCCACGACGCGGGCGTTGGGGGGGGGCGTGGGGAGCCCCACGAGGGGAGGCGGTCTGAGCGCCTCTTTGGGGGCCTCTTGGGGCCTCGTGGGGCCTCTTCTGGGCCTCCTGGAGGCCTCTCGGGCGCGTCTTGGGCACGTCTTGGGGGCCTCTCGGCGGCCTCCTGGGGCCTCCGTGCGGGGCTTCGCGGGGCGGACGTGCGGCGCCTCCGCTATGTGGCCCCCCTGCCCGGGCCCCTGCTCGCGGCGCGCGAGGGCCGCGCGCTCGCAGCGGTCGGGCCGCGGCACGCCCCTCCGGCAAGGGGGAGGCGGCGCGGGCCCGAGGCGTGCGGAGGGGGCCGCCGCGGGCCGGGCGGGCGAGCTCGAGCAGGAGCAGGAGGAGGAGGAGGAGGAGGAGGGAGGAGGAGGAGGAGGAGGAGGAGGGAGGAGGGAGGGGAGGAGAGGAGGAGGAGGAGGAGGAGGAGAGGAGGGAGGAGGAGGAGGAGGAGGAGGAGGAGGAGGAGGAGGGGAGGAGGGAGGGGGAGCCGCGAGCCCGGGCCGCCGCGGGCGTCCTGCGTGAGCGGCCCCAGGTCCGCCCCGCCCGGCAGCGGCGGCGGCGCGGCGAGGCCGCCGGCGGCCGAGGAGGCCGCGGGCTCCGCGGCGAGGGCGGCCGCGAGGGGGCCGAGCGCGCGCTCCTGGAGGGCGGGGCCACGCAACCACCGCTCGAGCAGAGCATCGACTACTCCAGATTTCGTAACAAAAGGGATGGGGTCTGGACCCTCCAAGACAAGCCATTTCAGACCTCCCCCGTGGGAGAACCCTCCAAAACATCGTCCCCAGACCCCCCAGGCCCTCCAAGATAGCCTGGAAGAGACCCCCCCCCGAATGAGACCCCCCCCCCCCCGAAATGAGACCCTCCTGGAGGGCGGGGCTACGCAACCACCGCTCGAGCAGATGGCGACTACAGTCATCGGCCTGACCTAAGGAACGATAGATAAGGAACGAAGCCCCCTTTTTATCCCAAGGAATAACGCATAAGGAGCGATACATAACAAATAACGCGTAGGGAACTGTAACTAACGCATGTGAAACCTGAGGAACGACCGAGCCCCTTTTGAAAAGTAAGTGTTCCGTATTCAAGCCGCTCACTGTACAGAGTTGACTCACCCCAACGTGGGTGTGCCAGTCGGGCACCCACGAACAGGTGCGAAGGCTGGCCCGCAGACCTGCGGGCATGCCGCGTGTTTGCTCGTAGGCCCAACGGGCAAATCGATGCTGGGGTAAGCCAATTCAAGCGCGTCCCACTAGTCGCAAAGCAACAACTCGCAAACGGCCTGGATCCGCCGTGGGAGATCTACGATCGATTGCATCGAGGCAGACATGCATGTTTTTTTTGTCTGACGTTTGCGAATAGGCACTTTGCGAGTAGTGGAACGCGCTCGGTGACACACAACCACCGTGCCGCCATGCGGGGCGCCGGGTGCCAGGATCGACACGGGGGGTGCTGAGCAGATGGGGAAGGCCAAGCGCGGCTGCCAAGATGGATGCATATGGCCGGGCCTGGCTCTTTCATGAGTGGGTTGGCTATGCCGCAGGTGGCCAAGCGGGCGGAGCCCACTCAGCCCGGATCGCGAGCCCCCTGCGCAATGTGGGGCACTTGTGACCCACTTATAAGCGAGGTTGCGCCAGATCCGCCGGCCCCCTTGTGGGGCCACGAGGCTGTAGGACAAAGTGTGCTGCCCCCAATGCCAGTTTCAGTTTCAAGTCTCCGATGTTACAGTCCTGCTTTCTGCTTGCTACTGTAAATTGTTGAAGTCTGCGCGAGGGAGGGGCCCAAATGGCCCAATGTACCACGCCCGGATCGCGTGCTCTGAATTCCTGGGGGGCGTGGGACATGTAAAATGCATGAGATTCGCGGCCCCGAGGCATCATCCCTCGTAAATTACGCGATGTTCGCGTCTCCGAGGCCACACACCCTCGTCAGTTATACAATCTTTGTGTCTTCGAGGCAACGCATCCTCGTACATTACACAATACTCGTGTCCCCGAAGCCATGCAGCCATGCACCTTAGCAGATTACGCCGTATTCGCATTGCCGAGGCCAAGAATGCTCTAACGCGCCCGAAGATGGTTCCAAGACGGACCAAGAGTGCCCAAAGAGGCCCCAAGAGCGCTCCAAGAGGCCTCCCGAGAGAGCCCCAAGAGGCCCAACTCGTAGATTGTACGTTTGAAAGGTTTTGGCCTTCTCGCATTTTCGTCTTTCCGACGCTCCAAAACGTCTCCAGAAGCTCCCAATACCTCCCCAAAACGCCCCAAGACGCCTCCAAGAGGGCCCCAAGACGGCCCAAGAGGGCTCCAATATGGCCCAAGAAACGCTCAAGACGGCCGCAGAGGGCCCCAAGACGGCCCCAGAGGGGCCCAAGCAGGGGACCACGAACCGAACATCTGGTACTTGTGCCCCGAGAATCACCCAGGAGGCCCGAAGAGGCCGTTCAAAGGCCCCAAGAGGCCCCTCCACTTCCTCCTCCTCCTCCTCCACTTCCGCCTACTCCTCCCCCTCCTTTAGTGCAAGGACCATGGCACGCGTGCCACTTGTTCGGTAAGGTGGCGGGGGAATCAAAGCTTCGGTTTGTGATAGACCGCCATCGTTTTCAAACACCAAGTCGACATGCTAGCAGACGAACGCGCCGTACACCATGCTGACCACTAGGAGGTCCCTTTGGATGCTGGTTTCGGGCAATGATGGTGGGATGAGTGCCGCCCCTTGCGCTGGCGCGCCTGGAGGACTTTGCGCGCGTGGCGCAAGTAGCGTGCCTAGAGCACGCGGCACACGTGGCCCTGGCGCACCAGGCCCAGTTGCTCTTGAAAGCGATAAAATGGTCGTTTATTGTTTTCGGTGTTCCATTTTTCGCTGATGACTCGGGTCGACGTGTTCCAAGACTGCACCCCAGAGGTGGGCGCCAGGAAGGCCAACAGCATGGAAACAACGCAGTGGAAACGAACAGAAAAAGGGCAAATGGCCCATGGGCCGACCCCGGACTTGGCAGCGTGATGGCAAGTATGCCAAACCTGTATTCAACATGCCGCTCTTCGGAAACAGGGCCTCAACGGCGCGCCTGGCGCGCTCAGCCAACTGAGGCACCCCATGCGCGTGGCGCACCCGGCACGCGAGGCGCGCCTCGCGCGCGCGGCGAACCTGGCGCCTGCAGCGGCATTGGTTCACAACGGCTGTCCATTGGATGAGGACCGCTGCCTATGCCGAGGCTCGGGCGCTGCCTGTCGATGGGCGGGCGCGTGGGGGTGATCGGGACAACTCTGAAGGGGAACGTCAGGGGGGCACGACTCAGATGGCGAAACATCTACTTGGAATCGGCGATATGTGTCGCCGATAGATCGGCGATAGGCCTCCGATGGGAAATCCGGATGTTCCTGGGCGGGGCGGGCTATCGGACCCCTACGGCGATGAGTCGACAATTGGGGGTCGATGTCCTCCCGAGCGTATCCCCCATTGTGGCGCTCCTGTTGGGAGCTCGATCTAGAACGTCAGCAGATGGCATGAGCATCCGCGCGGATTTCTTAGATCGGCGCTGGGCCCCCCTCCCCGGCGCGCGGAGCCCAGCGCCGACTTACGAAATCCACGCCGACCTCCGAATCTCTCTCTCTCTCTCTCTCTCTCTCTCTCTCTCTTTATAAAGATGTAGGACATAATATACACCCATACATTATAGTAAAGTCTGCCATCTTCTACTATAGTATATTTTGTTATGTATTTTGTAACGCGTTGTATTCCATTATCGTAAATAATCGTATATAATCATATGTATAGTATAACACTATTATACTATCAAAGTATGATCTATGACATCGCTACACATTCTATTGTACTATAATATAGCACATGCTAGAACATTAGATGCATCACCGTAGGATCTTATACTAAAGTAATTATAATGCATTACATTACATTACACCACATTAAACTTTATCATCTTGCACTACACGCCCTTATATATTATTATCGTATTTTCAGATCTGTTACATTATTTGAACTTTTTTTGAAGCTACCATCGTCATACATCGTATTGTACTATAATTTCATAACATATATTACATGGTATATGCATACATATGTGTCTGTGCCGATTTTTTTTCTTCGGCGCTCCCCTTCCCTGCGCCCCCCCGCCCCCCAAACGTCTGGTGTCCGGACTCTTTCAAGGCGTGGCTCCCGGGAGGTCTGGACCCCTTCTGGGGATCTGGCTATTCATCCCGAGTTTCTTGAAGGGGCCCAGGGACACGCAAATAAGTACACACAGATCTCAAGATGCCCAACATTTTCTTATATTTTCTCGACTTTCGTCTCCCCCCACTTCCCATGTTTCCCCATATTTTCCGGGGGGGCGACGATTCATCGCGTGTGTTTCTTCTTCCCCGCCTGACTTTTTTTCTCCACGGTCCTGGGCCCTGGCGAGGGGCCCCAAAGGCCGAAAACGGCGCAAAATCATCTGTCGCGATGTTCACGACGCCAGCACTTCTAGCTTCCGGGCAATAGCTCGGGCCTCGGGCGGCCGTTCGGGACGATCTGGGCATCCCCGAGACGCCCTCGGCGAGGCGCAGCTGCTGGAGTGCACCCTGAGGCAGGGAAACCTCTGGGAACCGACGAAAACGGCCGAAAACTGACGCGGTGATGCCAAGGGTCGATCCAGAGGTCGAGGAAGAGGTCGCTCTTCCTCGAAGGCTGAGGTCGAGGTCGAGGTCGAGGTCGAGGTCGAGGTCGAGGATCGAGGTCGGCTCGACCCCTTACCCAGAGGTCTCTCGACTGGGTTTTGCGTGGATGGGGTCGAGGGATCGCGCCGCATCGGCGAGGCATCGGCCATACAACGGCCATGCATCGGCGATGCATCGGCGACGTCGGCGGTGCATCGGCGATGTCGGCGTGGAGAAAATCGGGCTCCGCATCGAGCAGCATTGCCGATGCATCGGCGACACGGGGAGATCCACCGACCCCATCTACTCGGACCCCGTCTGCGAGGCCCAGAGCCTCCCCCCCTGCAATCCTTAATGAGGGCCTCCGCGTCGGCGTCCAGCGCGCTCGCTCGGCGGAGGACGCCGGCCGCGCGGACCGTGGCCGCCAGCTCCACCCGCGGCAGCGCCGCCTGGTCCCGGAGCCACGCCAACAGGGCGTCGGTGTATCGAGCCCCTGTCGGAGGATCCAGGTCCTGTGTTGAGGTCGGGCATGCCCCCCTGCAGGCGGATCTTGAACGAGCCAATTTAGAATAGTAAAACATTTAGCGAAGGACCGAAAATGGTTTAAAAAAATGGTCCCCAGACTATGTTTTGACGATTTTTGAATATTCCTCCTGTAGAGGGACAGGCCAGACTTAATCCTGTGTTGGAGCGTGAATCGGCGGCGGGCCTGGAGGGGAAGTGAGCGGGAGCAGGCCTTTTCAGCAGGCGGGCAGGGCTTCTCAAAAGCCCTCGCGCCTTCGGAGAAGCCTTCTGTGGCTTCGAGCATTTCTCAGAGGGTGCAGGGACTTCTTAGGGGGAAAGCAAACCTACCTCGCTTTTGACCATCCTCGCTTCCAAGAGATACCAAACGATGCCAAATTGCAGCCTGCACTGGTCAGGCCGCTTGACGAGGAGGCGCGCGGTATGGCTTGGTATTGCCTGGAAGCGAAAGCGGGGTAGGTAATTCACGCTCGGAACTCCTGGGAAGCTCCGCAGCCTTCTGGGAAGGCCTGCCCCCTCTCGCTCCCCCCGGGCACGCCGCCGAGAGAAACAGCCCCCCCCCGCGTCGTGAAGAATCGTGCTGAGCCCATCTTCGGACCGGTGAGGGCCCCGGGGCTGTCAACGAAAGACTCTGGATGAAAAGCCGGTCCCGGGGACGAGGTCCAGACCTCTGGGGATCCACGTGGTGACAACAGCACGACGTCGAGGATCTGGCAACGTCACGGGCGGCGATCACACACCCGCCTCCACGCCCACGGGGTCTGGATTCCTGGGCGCGACCCCGTGGAGATCCGCGGCCGCACGCATACGCTTCGCGCGGGGCATCCGTGAAAAAGCGCCCCGCATTGACAAGTGTCGCGGCCCAGGGGCTCGGCCCGTCGGGCCCGCGAGGCTGCGTCGACGGGTCTGTTTCCCGCCCACGACCTGCTCCCTGCCCCTCCCCTGTCCTCCCCCGTCGCCCCTTTTGAGCATCGCTTCGCCGATCCCTATCCCCACCGGCGTGGCCTGGGCCCCACTGACCGACTGACACCGGGGGATGGCGCTACAGGCTGTTTTCTGCGGGTTTCGAGGGACCTATCCCCAGCTGGGGTGGTGGGATGGGTGGGGCCGAGGTGCCATTCAGTGGGAATGGGGGCGGCTGCACCGATACCGACCTTTGCCGCTGCTGCTCCTCGGCAGTGCACGCCCCCCATCGCCAGCTCGAGCGGCCGCTGACCCGGCACAGTGATCTCCCCCCCGCCGTCTGCCAACACGGGCGTGTTCCCCGCCCTACGAGGCCTGGACCACCGACGTCGCGATCTCTTCGTGACGTGGACCCCCAGAGGTCTGGACCCACTCCCCGGGCCTCGTGAGCGGGGAACACACCCGTGTTGGCAGACGGCGGGGCGGGGTGGGGGAGGGGAAATGATTGTGCCAGGTCAGCGGCCGCTCGAGCTGGCGACGGGGGGCGTGCACTGTCGAGGAGCAGCGGCAAAGGTCGGTATCGTCGCAGCTGCCCCCCATTCCTACTGAATGGCACCTCGGCCCACCACCCCAGTTGGGGATAGGTCCCTCGAAACCCGCAGAAAACAGCCTGTGCCGCCATCCCCCGGTGTCACTCGGCCAGTGGGGCCCAGGCCACGCCAGTGGGGATAGGGATCGGTGAAACGATGCTCAAAAAGGGCGGGGTCAAAGTTGACGACGCGTCCTCCAGGCCGTCCCCGGCGGCAGCAAACAAAACCGAGGACCGACCGAACCGACAGCGACACCGAGATCGACGGGCCGCGCAGCGGCGCCGCACAGACACAACGACCGACGGAACCGAACGCAACCGACGGCGACGCAGCCGAGCGGGCCGCACCGCGAACGCCCGTGGTCCTCGAGAGCGTCCGCCGCGCGCGGCAGCGCGACGGGCTCCTGCGGGGTCGGCGCCTGCGCGGCGCCGGCGGCCCCCTCGCCTTCGCGGCCACGCCGCTCGCGGCGCTCGGGCACTGCGGAGGCGGAAGCCCGCTCGCCCGGGGAGCCAGGGCACTGGCCGTCCGTCGGGTGGCCGTCGCCGCCGCCTGCTCGAAGGATGCGATGCGCAGACGACTCCCTCACCACCTCCTCCTCCTCCTCCTCCTCCTCCTCCTCCTCATCCTCTTCCTCCTCCTCCTCCTCCTCCTCCTCCTCCTCCTCCTCCTCCCCCCTCCTCCTCCTCCTCCTCCTCCTCCTCCTCCTCCTCCTACTCCTCCTCCTCCTCCTCCTCCTTGCTGGCTGATCGGACGGCAGAGTGGGCTCGCTGGACTGATAGATTTGGCTTGGCTTGACTTACTGGCTGACTTGAGTGACGGGCTGGGATGAGCTGCGCTGGACTGCCTGGCTGGCTGACTAGTTGCCTGGACTGCTGCGCTGCGCCGTGCTGCGCTGCTCTGGGCTGCATTGCGCTGCACAGGGTCGGACAGGAGTGGGCAGCTTGCCGGACACAGACGCGTGTGACCAGCCAGTGCCTTGGCCACCAATTGTCACGTAGGGGACCCTGGCCGTCCAAACACAACTCAAAATGGTTCGAGGCTGGTTCAGCTCTGCTCAGGGGCACCTTGCGCCGCGATAGGGGTTGCCGCAGGCGGCGGCCGAAATTGAAGAAAACGCCTCGAGCAAAAGTCGCACCAAGTCTGGGCGACCGGGATCACCCGTTGGCCGTCAGGAGTCAAGGCACTGACTGGCTGGCTGACTGGCTGGATTCTCGACTGGACTAGACTCGCTTTGTTCATTGGCTGATTCGACTTGGGCGGGTTGAAACACGTATGCGTAGCTGGGCCTGAATGAATGTACAAGCTGAAACCACTACGATGTGAATCGCGCAAGCACGCACTGCTAGTTCTGCTGTTCTTGCTCCTGCTCCTGATCCCGCGGGCCCTCTGGCGGAGCACGTGACAATGCCAAATCCATGGCGTGTGATCCTGCCGCTCATGCCGCTGCTGCTCCTGCTGCGCTTGCTCCTCCTACTGGGGCTTGTCGTAAATATTGAACCAGAAGATGCAAGGACCCACTCGTGAGGAGCTTACGCGTACAGCACGTCATCGTTCACACGCGTGCCCAAGCCCGCTGGTAAGCGAAGTGTTCAGGCCTTGGGCTGACCATGAGTGACTATACGGGAACGCGTGCAGGCCGACATCTTCGATGCTGTATGACGCGCTTGCATGCAACATGTGAGCAAATGCATGGCATGCGCATCATCGGACAAGCAATGCGGCACAACATGCACATGCGTGAAGTACTGGCATATCCGCAGAGGCGACGGCGAGAAGCATGCTCTTCGAATTGTGACTGAGGGGATTGCCCTCCCCGTGGCAAAACATCAGCACGAGCATCTTTGGTTGGCGGGGACAGCCAAGGTCGAACGTTGTCCTCTGCTCCTCTTTCCCTGGCCTCCTTTGGGGCTGGCATTCGCCCCTCCCTGGCTGGCGCCGCCTCGATGCCGCTGCGCCTCCGCAAGGGGGGGACCGGGAGCGTCAATCTCCTCCACTTATTCCCGCCTTCGTCGTCGTCGTCCTCCTCCTCCTCCTCCTCCCACTTCTTCGTGCTTCTCCTCCTACTCCTCACGCTCCTTTCCCCTCTCCCTCTCATTCTCGAATTCTCGACCCTCCGCTCGTCCCTCCCAGGCCGTTGGCATCAAAGTGTACAGCGATACCAAAGAGGATGACGGCAGCAATCCCAGACCATGGATGCGTGGTGGTGTTTTTGTTGCGGGGGGGGGGGGGCAGGGGGGTGGTGCGTGTAGGTGTTCCCCTCAAGCAATGCCTGATTTTAGGAGCTCTTACTGGTCATTCTTAGGTGCTTGGTTGGGTATTTTAAAGTTTCGCCACGCTGCCGCCCGTGCAGACTCGTGGGCGCCCCTGTGCGCTGGGGGGCATGCCGAGGTTGCGCCACGTTGCCGAGTGCCGTCGTGGGCGCCGAGGAGGCGATTGCGAGGAGGACGACGTTGTCACCCGTGCCGCCTCGTGGGTGTCTCGTGCGCGCCCCGTGCGCTGAGCTTGCACGCCACAGCTTTCGCAACACAGCTTGCACCGCCCAGCTTGCACCACATCGCTTACCCCGCATCGATGGTACAACAGAACGTGCACCACACAGCGTACACCCCATTGTTCCCACCTCCAGTTCACACCCCCAACTTACAAGACATAGCCTACACCACGTAGCTTGCACCGCATACTTGTCACGTCCACGGCCAACACCACATACATTCCACCATATCGTTTACACTGCATAGCTTGTACCTCCCCTGTGCAATGACGTACTGTTTGGGGTCCACGCTGGGTAACCTTTCTTTGTCAGAGTACCCCGTTGTCATGATTTACCCATACCCGGTGATGTTTTGACTTCGACGCCCAACCAATTGGCCGAAAAGCTTCTAAGGGCAACGATCGTGAGGTTGCCAAAAGCGACCGCCCAAACTAGGGCCACAAGCCGACTGTGCCAACATGCAACCTGGCAGCCACTGGTGGGGCGCCTGAGCGCCGTAGCCATGAGACGGGGAGATGAAGCGCAGCACTCAAAAGGGGGGGCAGGCTCCAGGCCAACACACCTCACTTGTGGTCGGCTTCCAAAGCCCTGCGCCCAACTACTGCCACCTCTGCGGGGGCGCTTCCCTTACCTCCGCCACATTCCGCCGGCTCTGCGCCAGCTTCTGCCAGCGGAGACGCCCCCGTTTTACTTCCGCCGGCCTTCCGCTGGAGAGGAGATGCCAGCTTCCTTCGGTGCTCGAAGGCAAGGACCTTCTTGGAGCGCGCCATATGCCCCGTCTGCCTGTCGAGAACCAATCGGGAAAGTGGCGACGGCAGGCCACGGCAGGGCGAAGGGAGCACCCGAGCGCGAGTGTCCCACGGGCAGCGGCCTTGGCACGACTCCTGTGCTCTCGGGGGGGGGGCGGGCATGTCTCGAGCGAGAAGAGAAATCGAGGGTGGACACAGGATGGCACGTCTCCACGAACAGTCGTCTTGGCCAGAGTCGGATCACGAGCAGCCCCTCGGACCCCTCCCGAACAGTCATTCCGACCAGTTGCCTGAGCGAGCAATCCCCTGCCTTAGCGACGAGCCCCCCCCCCTCCTCCAGGGGGCCTGGCAACAAAGATAGAAACGCTACTGAGAGAGCGACGAAGACAAGCAGGAGCAAAAATGCAGAAACCCGAGAGAGCGACGAAACTAAGCAAGAAAATCCTTCCCTCGGGAACGCACTGACCTGGGTCAATGCAGGTCAGTCAGGCTTTGCAGGATCCTGCAAGATCCTGCGCGCAAGCCCAGGTCAGCGCACCCCTGGCTCTTCTAGATCCTGCAAGATCTGGCGCTCTGGCTGACCCCCGCTTGCATTGACCCCCGTCTCAAGGCTCCCGATCCCCGCTGACCCTTGCACCCTCCGGCCTTGGCGGGTGGGTACAAGCTCTGGGCGACTGGGTCGGCGAGGCTGCCGCCGCTGGGGTCCCAGGCGCCGCCGTGCCTCTGGCCAGGGAGCCTCGAACGTAAGATTCGTTTCGTTTCGTTTCGCTGCAGCTTTGACCTCCTACAGAGTTGGCTGGAATTGTACGCGACTGTACACATGAAAGAGCTCTCTCTCATGCTATGAATCCTGCTTGGAGTACTCTTACCTTCCCGCTTGGGCCGGGGCTGCCCCCAGAAGCTCCTGGTCGGGAGTTGTCCTCGCGAGCGTAGCGGTCTCTGGCCGCCGCTGCGGAAGTTGAGAAGGGCAAGGGTCCCCGAGGAGGGAGAGTATCACAGGCACCCACAGCACCTACCCGAGATCCGTTGGGTCGTAAGGGATCCACCTTGCGGGGTACGGGGCCTGGTTGCACGTGGGGGTGGCACTGTCTGTCCAGTCGCTCTCGCATGTCATCCCACCTTCGTGTATCCCTTTTTGCTGTCTCCTCCCCTGTGCTGCGCTGTGTGGCCCCCTGCCTGTGCCGTGCCCGCGTCCGCGCGGGCTGCCTGACGCTTCGGGACCCTGTGGTCCAATACCTGGCCGCGGCGGGCCGAGGCCAATCGAGGAGGAGGAGGAGGAGGAGGAGGAGGAGCAGGAGGAGGGGGAGGAGGAGGAGGAGGAGGAGGAGGAGGAGGAGGAGGAGGAGGGAGGAGGAGGGAGGAGGGAGGAGGAGGAGGCGGGGCAGGGGCCACGGCTCGAGCGTGGGAGGAGCGGCCCGAGAGCCCGCGAGCCCCCGCCCCAAGGCCCAGGGGCCCTTGCTTCCGCGTCCTTTGAAGGGGCCCTGGGCCACACACACGCATCCACACAGATAGCAGGATCCCCCACATTTTCCAAACATTTTCGTGGTCTCTGTCTTCCCCACCACTGCCCATCTTTTCCCATCTTTTCCTGGGGATCGACGATTCATTGTGTCTGTGTGTTTTGTTCCCTCCTGAGTCTTGGCTGCAGGGGGGGAGGATGCCGCACCTCCTGCGGTTCCCCCGCCCCTGGCCGCAATCGCTCCCCCCAGCGTCGGGGGTTGCGGGGAGCGGTCGCGGCCGGAGGCGCCCCCAGCTTTTCGGGGCAGGCTGGAACCGAGTCAGCCCTCGTCGTGGCACTGGTGATCTCCTTCGCATGTCGCTGCGACAGTGCCCGCCGCTGGGCCTCGTGCCCCGAGGCCCAGAACGCCCCCCTCCTGAGGCCCGTGATAAAAGGGGTGCTCTGGAGGTCGTGGGGGCCTCCCTGGAGATCATGGATGCACCTTGGGCCAGGGTCACCTTTCCTGGACATCCGATGATCTAGTTGTTTGGTTCCTTTTCAATGCGGGGTGCACGGAAGTCCCTACCTATCCTGTCCCCAGGCAAGGCACGTGCCTTCAAGATGGGGTTCCCGGAGATCCCGAAGCCCGGCGAGGGCCCCCAAAGGCCGATAACGGGCAAACAGCATTCCGTCGTGATTTTGTCACGGCGCGAGCATGTCTGTGGATGCATTTGGGCCAGGGGCACGTTTTCGGCGGCGAGCCAAAGGGGAAATGAGAGGGGGCAGGCCTTTCAGAAGGCGGCGGAGCTTCTCAGAAACCCTCGCACCTTCTGAGACGCTGTCCGTGGCTTTGGAGTAAGCATGCGAAGCTCCTCAGAAGGAGCGAGGGCTTCTGAGGAGCCCCGCCGCCTTCTGAGAAGGCCTGCCCCCTCTCGGACGCCTGGTAGTTTTGGGTCATGACTCGGCTCTCGGGTGGTCGTTCGGGACAATCCGGGCACCCTGGGAACGCGCTCGACAAGGCGCAGCTGCTGGAACGCATCCCGAGGCTGGAAGACCGCCGAGAGTCGACGAAGACGACCGAAAACCTCTGCTTCCCCCTTGGTCTCGCCACCAAACTTTGTCAGCACGCAACGCGAGACCAACCCTAAGGTTTCCTGGTCTGAAACTTTGGACGCCCAGAACGGGTATGGCAAGAGGTGTACGATGCCCAGCAGCAAAGATTGCCCACAACCGACAGCGGCCGCTGTTGGGCAGGCGAGCTTCTGTCTCATGTAGACAATGACCGCGGCGACGCCGACAGCGAATCCTGGGCAGAACAAACACGACCTGCTGTTGGACTTTGTGCCCGTTGTTTCCTTACCGATTTTGATCATTCTGATTGGACAAGGAGCCCTTAGAGAAGGAATCCAGGGTCTGGAAGCGTATGGAGCTCGAATCGTGGAGCTCTAATTGTGGATTGGCCATGGGTACCACTGCTGCCCTCATCAGATAAGGAGTCCTCTAAGTTCTGAAGCCTGATGGGCACACCTTTCGTTACCAAAACGCCCTCACCGTAACAGTATAACTTCTCGGAGGCCCGTATATGGACCTCCGACAAATTATGCTTCGGCAGGAGAGCCCAGAATCGAATCGAGAAGTCGGATCGCCGATCGACATGAATCGGATCGGCGGAAAGCGGCAACCGAGTTGGGAACAATCGAATCGGCGGACATCGGCAGGCTAGTCTGCCTCCGATGAGACATCGGCGCCCGCATCGGAATCCCAAATCGAATCGCACCGACACCAGAAGCCATCGAAGTCGAATCGAACCGGAGGAGGAGGAGGAGGAGGAGGAGGAGGAGGAGGAGGAGGAGGAGGAGGAGGAGGAGGAGCAGAGGCGAGGAGGGACGAGGAGGAGGCAGTGGGCGTGACGAGCAGGAGGAGGAGAGGAGGAGGAAGAGCGAGGAGGAGGAGGAGGATGGAAAGAGGAGGAGGAGGAGGAGGAGGAGGAGGAGGAGGAGAAAAGGTCGGAGGAGTGAGGCGGAGGAGGAAGGAAAGGAGGAGGAGGAGGAGGAGGAGGAGGAGGAGGAGGAAATAATGAGGAGGAGGCGCTCAGACAAGCCCTGCTGCGGCCCCCCCGAGACGCCCGCAGGCGTCGGCGGCCGAGGCCGCCAGCGCTGGCTCCGCGTCGGTGCCGCCGCTGGCGCCGCTCCGCCGCGCCGCGCTGCCCGCCCCGCCGCCGGCGGCCTGGCCGCCGCGCGGGGCGGGGAGAATTTGGACGCCCGAAATGGGTACGGAAAGAATGGGCAAAATGCCCAACAACAAATGCTGTCCCAAACCAACAGCGGCCGCTGTTGGGCAGGCGGCCTTCTGTCTCGAATGGACACAGGCAGCGGCGGCGTGGACAGCGAATCCTGTTCAAAATGAACAGGAACTGCTGTTGGGCATTGTACCCATTCTTTCCGTACCCATTTCGGGCGTCCAGAGAGAAGGGAAGGCCCCCAGAGGCCCCGGCGTCTCGAGCAGCATCGAGGCAGAGGTTTCTCCTCGTTTTTGTTGGCCCCTCGGGTAAAACGACGCGAAGATCGGGACAACATCGGATCGGGATGACTCGAAACCTCTGAGAATCGGCGGGTTTGGAGGATATATTGGGCGCCGCGGCCGCTCCAGAGCGTTCCGAAACGCTCTGAGAGCGCTCCGGAACGCTCTGGAGCGATTTATCCCGATCCTAGCCCTGTTTTATCGGGGCCCTTCCTGGGCCTCGGGAGCGTCGGCGAACGACGCGGGACGAAGAGACCCTGTCCCGGGGAAGCGGTCGAGAGGTCGGGGGCCCGCGCCTCGAGAAGGTGAAAACGCCAGATGTCTGGGGCGGCGTGTGCGTGCCGCGCGCGGGGGCGGCAGGCAGTCCCCCGGCCTTCGGCGTGTTTGGTGTTCGGCTTGTTTCTCTTACAGTCGAGGCGTTGACCCAAGGAACCCTAAAGAAGGAACGAGGCCCCTACTTTCCATAAGTTAGACTTCGATTTCGTATCGAAAACCGGAGGAACATCTAAGGCAAGCTGCGAAACAATTAAGGAGCACGGAGCCCCTTCCCAACGAAAAGGGTTCCTTCTTCAGGGCCCCGACTGTATTGCTGTCTTCGTCTGGCCTCTTCTTTTTCGCATGCAGGTGCTGGCTATCGGAATGACTGTGTCGTGCTACACTTCGGTGAAGCAGAACTCCGGGTGTATTTCCTTCATTTCGGCTCCTGGGGCCCGTTATCTGGACCTGGGAACTTCAAAAACGGATCGGGGATAAAATTTAGCCTGGCGAAGGACCCAGCCATATGCAGCTGTGGGTACCGTCGTTGTATGCAACGCATTCGGTGGAGCTCCCCATGGGGCCACGAAGCGTGTGAGGGGTGGGCCAAAATGGGCGCGGTGGCCGCATGCGAGCGCTGGCATCTGGGCCTTCGGTGGAGCCGCCTTTTATGGGGCCACGAAGCGTTGGAAGGGTGTGCCACCATAGGTGCGGTTGCCGCATGCGAGCGCTGGCGTGTGGGTCTTCAGTGGAGCTTCCTGTGGGGCCACGAGACGTGTGAGGGGTGTACCAAAGTGGCTGCGGTGGCCGCATGCGAGCGCTGGCATCTGGGCCTTCGGTGGAGCTCCTTATGGGGCCACGAAGCGTGTGAGGGGTGTGCCAAAATGGGTGCGGTGGCCGCATGCGAGCGTTGGCAATCGGGCCTTCGGTGGAGCCGCCTTTTATGGGGCCACGAAGCGTGTGGGGCGTGCCAAAATAAGTGCGGTGGCCGCATGCGAGCGCTGGCATCTGGGCCTTCGGTGGAGCTCCCTGTGGGGCCACGAGACGTGTGAGGGGTGTACCAAAATGGGTGCGGTGGCCGCATGCGGCGCTGGCATCTGTGTCTTCGGTGGAGTCCACTTTTATAGGGCCACGAAGCGTGTGACGGGTGTGCCCAAATTGGTGCGGTGGCCGCATGCGAGCGCTGGCATTCGGGCTTTCGGTGGGGCTCCCTATGGGGCCACGCAACGTGTGAAGGGTGTGCCAAAATTGGTGCGGTGGCCGCGTGCGAGCGCTGGCTTGGCCTTCGGTGGAGCCTCCTCAATGAGGCCTCGAAGCGTGTGAAGGGTGTGCCAAACTGGGTGCGGTGGCCGCGTGCGAGCGCTGGCGCACCTGGGCTTCCGGTGGAGCTCCCTATGGGGCCACGGAACGTGTGAAGTGTGAATGTGTGTGTGTGTGTGTGTGTGTGTGCCAAAATGGGTGCGGTGGCCGCATGCGAGCGCTGGCAGCTGGGGCCTTCGGTGGAGCTCC